CCATGATCATTTTGAAGAGTCCTTTACGGCTATTTCAATTAAAAAAGAAAGTGAATTTAAAATTCAAAAAACCCGACTCCTTTATTGTTATATTGTTTTAAAATTTCATGGTCACTAACATTATAGCTATTAACAGGATTGTTAATAGCTATAATGGTAGGGGTATCGAACGCAGTAAAAAACGACGTCAGAGGGTAGACCGATATGTCTGCCAATAACATCTACCCGCAATTACTTCAGTTACTCCGTGATCATGGCGCTTGCAACAGTGCCAAAATATCGGAGACTCATAAAAAACAAGGTACATGGTAACAATCCTTTATTATTACTTCAAATAAAAACTGAAATGAAATAAACAACACCAGTACTCAACAATTCTCTTAAGTAAGGAATTAAGCTACTTTAACAGTAGATATTTTGATAAACAATAATTTGTTAATACAAAATGTGCATTTTGGAAGTGGATATCAAATAAGATTTTATTTTTGGTTCACTATTTTAGTGATAATGGCTTACACATTAAAAATAGATATATACTTTTTTGTAGAACTATTGAAGAGATATATTTTCACAATACATTATATTTATGTAACTTATACTGTGCAGGCCAAATGCTCGCAGATGGGAGTTTTTTTTCCGTCTTACGTGATACTTATTGTTATATTTTGGCCAATTCACTTAATAGCTACATAAATTACTATCTATATGTTATAATTATGTCTGAGCTATATTATTGTTAAGTTTTATTAAAATCTATTCAGTATTTTTTGGGTGAGAGAGTAACAAAGATCCATACAAAGATAATAAAAAAGACTAAGAAAGTAATATTGAAATTAAAACGTAAGTGGTTGATGTACAACTTTAAATCGTTGTAGATCCTAAACAGTCATACAAAATTCAAAAATGGTGTAAGGAACCTAAACATGCTTTTCAATTATCTAGACAATGATGTCCCTACTTAACATATTTCATCAAATTATTTTTTTCTTTCTCACAATATGGCGCCTAACTGTCCCCATATTGAATTTTGATTACTATAATATCTTTAGTAGCACTCCCATGATTAAGACGAATTGATTGACATATGAATCATCAAAATCGGTCCACGCGTTTGGTCTCTAGTGTGCCACAAAGAAACGTACATACATATATAGACTGTTAAACACTATGCCACGACTATGCCCTGTCTGCGCGTCGCGCTTCGCGCTCTTACATTGCGCAGTCGGGTAAAATAGATAATCCGTAAGTCATTTCGTTCCTAAGAATGCTTTGCGCGGTAAACTTGGAACATTAGTTACCTACGTCAAACGATTAAGCGCGCTTTTTTGTGTTCCTTTAATCAAAAAACCCAAATTATAGTACTTACTTATATATTCGGGACTAGCCACATCCGCAACTTGCGTCTTTCGCAAAATCTAAACCTGAATTTCAAAAGTAAAAAATATTTTGCATAGTATTGTGTATTTATGAATAGAAGATATATTTTAACTACATATGTTTAATATGTGTTACTATTATTATGTGGTGTAGTGCAAAAATATGGTACTCACATAGAGCTTTTATTTGTATCGCGAATTTAGTATTCCAGACATTCGCCACCTAAACCTGTCGTGATATATATCACTGACTTGAAACAATATAGTCCTGCAGTTAGTCTTGTTTTTTTTTTACCTGGACTAATTTACACCACAAACCTGTTTAACATGGTTTAGAAGAGAATAAATATAAATTAAAAAGTGTGATATAACAATTTCTCTGATTTTTTGTGTGTGTTATATGTTTTAAGAAAGTATATGTAGTAAAACATTAATTTAAGATATAGTATGGTGCTATTTTAAATACTTTTCAAATGAAAAATTAAATTAATTTTACATCGTGTAAGTACATACACTTAAACACTTGCTTTAACTTTTGGCTAAGAAAAATGCAGAAAATAAATTTAAAAAAAGAATATTTATGTCCGATTACGTTTTTATGGATTTTGAGTACAGTGTTGTTTTTTTAATATTAGTGTTATTGACATGAGTTCCGCTTTCTAATAAAAAGAAAAGGTCCATTGAATGACGAATGAGTTGCCAAGAATTGGGGGCACTAGAATGACGCGAGCTATCGTTAGCTGTCAAATTTAATAACATGAGCACCTGTCTGATTTCCAGTGCTGGCGTGATAACGTGGTGTTCAAATACTCCAATACACACAAGTGGGACAAAGCCAAACACAAGTGTACCAGGAATGCTTGTGAAGATACCATGTCGTGACTCTGAGTCGTGCTAATCATGAACTTTATTTGCGGAATACGTCATGAACGCCGAGTACTGGTAACGATTTAGCATATCGTTAAAGTAGACATTATAATGTGTATGGAATTGCTATGTCCTTATATTGAGAAAGAAATACTAAAAGGTTAGAATTTATAACGATAATGTTTAAAAAAGTCATGAAAACTTTTGAGTTTGATAAATAATACCTATCAATGAGTAAGAACAAGGTAGTAACTGCTACTTTTAGTGTTATTTTTACAATATAATATTTTTATAGTTTTTTTAAAAATGGGGATTAGAGTAGTGATTCCAGTAGTAGTAGTATATAGAAAAAAAATCTCAAAAACAAGATTCTTAAAATTCATAATAAGGCTTATGGTTTAAAGAGGTTTCCTAATTTTTTCCCAACACATAGTTTAATCTATTGGAAAATAATAATCATATTCAAAATTGCACAAGTTATGAAATGAAATGAAAGTTATGAAATAATTGAAAGTTATTTCATCTAAAGAAAACACATTCTTAAAATGTAGTTATGTAGTAAGGGTGAAAACTCTAGGGGTATAGAAAAATTTCGAATTATTGTCGTTGGAGCCCACTTTTGAAACGCATATTCATATTTTTGGCGTGGGATTCCATATTAGAAAAATTCAAAATAATTATGTTTTATTATCGATGAATCCCTAAAACTCTGGAACCCAAATGCCTAAAAAAATGAAAAGCGTGTACTTTCAACAACATTTTTTTTTATAATAAAATGAGTGTAAAGGTATTTTTCGAAAGCAATGCGTCAATTGGTGTGAGTGTTGAAAATATTTAAATATCCTCCACACTCTTTCTGCTGTATGTCAATGATTTAATTCCTCTTGGGAATATTCATTGCTATTCAGACGATAGTATAGTGCTTGCGGATACTTCGGACATGCAGCGGCTGTACAGGCGGATACCAAAGAGAAACGGAAAAATCTTGTCACTGAAAGCAATCAGCTTTTGGTCTACATTTCAGAATAGGGTTAAGTTCAATGCCAAGAAAACCCAGGTTTGCTCTTTTACGGCAAAAACATCGCTATTTCTTCCCCTTCCCTCTTTTCAGGGCACAACACTGGTACAATAAACCAACATCACCATGCTCGGTATAAAAGTTCGCTCAGACCTGAATCCAAAAGACTACATCGAAACCGTGATCAAAACAGCTTAACGAAAACTTAGAATCCTGAGCAAGGCGCGGCGCCTGATCAACTGCGCTTGTTGTACAAAATGTTCAACGTTTCTTCAGAGGACCAAGCGCACTGGCCTACATTGATACCGAATTAATCTCACCACTATTCCTGCACAAACAAAGAAATTTGGTGACTCATTCTTTGTCGTACTATTCGCAAGTGAAATTCTTTTACCCGCGCACGTGTTCCCTTCTTCCTACAATCTGGGGTCCTTTAATAGAGGCGTGAAGAAGCATTCTGCAGGCCGGCAAGGTTAGGATGGTTGGTGTGGCAGTTTATAACCGCAAATGGGACCCATCGTTAATATCTTAAAAATGGGATCAAAAAATGGGCTCCAACGGAAATAATTCAAGTTTGTATAGGCTGGTGAGATATGGGTGCAAAAAGCGGTCGTTTTTCTGCCCCCTCAACTATCTTTACAATTGAATGCAATTATAACAGCAAAAGTTAAGAATAAAAGGAAAAACAAGTAAAAGTTAAAAATATGAATTTGAAAATAGTACTAGACTGCTTCGATTCTATATGCTCGACCGAGCAGAGTAATTCATCGTGCTAATTGCACTTGCTGCGTTTAAAATAAGCACTAGTTCTAAAAATGAAAAACACGATTATAGAAATGCGTCCCGACTGGTTTGTAAAAAGTAATGTCTGTGGTAAGAACCTTGTTTAAGCAATATCCACGAGATTGTGCACTAAGTTTACGTTCGCTGTTAAAACAAACGAACAATACAACTCAGTGAAGGAACTAAAAGATTTAAATGCGTTTTAACGAGATTTTACATTTTATACGTGTTAAAATTATTAATTTTAACTTCAGCGACTGATATCATCATCATGAGATCACGAATAAACTTGGTATTACATAACAGAAAATCGTCTGATAATTTTAAATAGCTTGCTCAATAACTGACGTATGTAGGTCCTACTTAAAAATTCAAGTGTAGTCTTAAGTGAGTACCAATTGTTTCATTATTATTTCTGCAAATTACCTTGCCGATTTAAAGGTCAGCATTTGTAAATTGATCATGTACATAAGCGAGGAATACTTAAAGTCTTGGAAACCTACAATTACGACACGATATTTGTTCTTTTTTATTTCTTATGTATGAGGAATTTATTTGTGTATTTGCAAAACGAGAGAAATGAAAAGAATTGGAGTTAAGTTTTGCCAATTAGGGGAATATAGATAGGATTGTTAGGATATCAGTAACTATTGAATTTTTCAAGTCATATTATTAATTTTGGAATAAGGGCTGTTTTGCGTCTAGAAAAATATTTTATTTTGAGTTATACTTTTAATTCTAGTAACTAAAGTTTTTGAGACTTTCATTTACTTAAGGATATGTTTAGAGGTACTGCTTAATTTATTACGAAACTAAAAAAAACTAAATATGAGTGCTTTTTATGATTTATAAAATTAAAATTTACTCAGAAATATATGTTATATATTTTCCAAATGGAAACTTATATCAATTTAAATTTAATATTTTAAAAAATAAGTATTTAAATAGGTACTTACTTTTCCAAGCGATCCCCAAGTTTGTCAGAGTGGTGGCTTTCCTTGGGTTTTGTGAGATCGGAGTCATAGAGGTCTCTCTTGTAGCCCCGCCAGAACGTGGGCATCATCCAGACGAACCATGCTCGCGAGAAGAAATTCGCTCTAATATAATTATTGGACTTTTTCACTCTCTCCTTCGGCGGAATCTTTTTCGGGTCGCTTGGGTCTTTGTTGCCACTAACCATTTTGACAGTTCTTATTACAAAATAATAAAATATATTTGAAAAATTAAATTGAGCTAATATTCTCAGTCCAAATTTCGAACACTGATTCAATTGGTCGTGAAAAACGACATTTTAAATGCAAACTCGTGGACGCAGCAGTGCTGCCGGACGGTGACCGGAGCGCACGCGCGGGGCTATGCAGAGGTGCGTGCGACGCGCAAATCTTCCGCCTACTGAGGGAGCGCGTGCTACTATTTACAGTATAAACGTAACACGTAGCACTCTGCTGGTAGCTTATCTACTGTCCACTCTGCCGCCCTCACACCCCTCGTAGCCTTTTCAATTATTAATACATACTGATCGATGGAAGCTTTTGTCGCAACTAAAAAATATGTTCATAATAAGCGGTAGAAAAAAAAATAACAGATGTAGGCACTACCTTGGTACTTTGCATCCAATTGATATAAAAATATTTTGACTTTGATGTTAAATATATTGAAAAAACTGATTATTTTATAATCTCATGCATTCATGTCATGTTATAAGATTAAATTAGGGCGTAATTTTAAAGGGAATTTACTTTTTGATTAAGCTTTCGATTTTTGTCTTAGTTATCAATATTTGTTCAGTATTTTATTGTCAGTAGTGTCTTTAGCCCCATGGGGCTAGTTTGAGTCATTTATTGCTCAGATTAGTAATATTTTCTCATTCATTTTTTCTTTTCTGTTGTGTGTTTGTTTAGGTTAACATGGATTTAACTTGTGAAAGTTTCTTTATTACAATTTTCTACTTTTCAATTAGTACAATTTACTTACTTTTTAGTGTAGCAAGCAGTCTTGCTCGCATTCAAACTGCTTTTAGGGATGAATGCATATCGACTGTTTTAAGCTAGTTTGCAAAATCAAATTCAGTCGTGGCCAATCTTATTAATCAACTTCGTCATCGCTTTCGGTCCTCCGTTGTATACAATGAAAGTGACCGTAGAAAACCGACGAACGTGTTTCTCTTGGTGGTAGAGTATAGTAGATTTGACGCTACAATTGGAGCGCCCGTCCGGAGAAGTAACCTCTACCTTAGACAAGATCACCGTGTAATAACTGTCGATGAGTAAGGTAAAGGCAGAAGTAAAGACCTACGTCTCTACGGGACATGGGATGGGGTCAGGTTTGGAAACGGTGGGAGCAATGATACTTTGCTATCGCAAGGTTGTCGCTATAATTTTTACATAAGTAAGCCACGTGATCGTTACGTGAGCATCTATGATTGTGGTTGCCGCTGATCTATATTAATAGATTCTACCCTTACGTAAGAAAAATAATAGGAGAAGCGGTCGGGGACGATGATAGTTGCATTAACGAATGGAATATTTCAGTGGATATCCTTCGACGAGATTTGGAAAGTGCTTGTATATTATTAAATTTACATAATTGGAAGATAAGGATAATCTCAAAATGTCAATGTTATGCGCTCAATGAAATGAAATCATTGTTACACACTTATGACAAGTTTGTATTATTGTAAACAACCATAAGCAAATAAGATTATGAATAATATATTAATTTTGTCCGCATTTTTGTCTTAAATAAATTGTTTGTTACTTAGTTTCCTTTAAACTTTCGAATAATGTGTAATTTTCGTGTATTCTCGATCATCAAACCAATCATTCACACCAGTATTAAGGTTAATCAGTGCTAAAAAACATACTGTGATGAGCGTGGCTTGCATTGTTCAGGGGATGCTTGGTGGAGTAATACACTTACTCTTTCTTCCGAAAAAAAATCTACATAGACTTAAACAAATTGCAATAAAAAATTATTGCTTAAAATTATACCCATGTTTTTAATAAGATACCCTATTAAAAATTGGCGTCAAAATATTGTCTGATGAAAAGAAATTTGACGCAAATGGTTAAGGGGGGTCTGGCGGCCCCCACCGAATCTGGTAAAATCATTCCAAAAATCTTGAAGAGGGTCGAAAAACAAGCAGTATAAGCTTTTTACCAACATTACAACCCTAAACGAAAACACAGTAATGGCGAAAAATATGATTTTTTGTAATTTTTTATTTTTTTCAACCAGTTTAATTTATTTTTAAATGGTTTAAATGCAATTAAACGTTTTTAGGGTTGTTTTAATTTTCCCGAAGGGTGCTGTATAGTATAGATTGCGGCAATCACCCTCTTTCGAATGCAGGCAATTGGACTCAATTTGGTCAATTCTGGTGAGCGGGGCGATTTTTTGAAAAAAACTCGAATTTTCAACTTTCGGTAAATTACGGCGCGTACTTGGTATAATGCGTCTTTGTTATAAAAAATACATCTCTATAGGGGTTTTTGAGGTCGCTGATCACGAATTTGATGTCAAAAAAATTTTTGTCAGCAAATTCACCCATAAATATTTATTAAAACAGGTTTGATAATGTAGTTGTTGAGAGAAATTAAAAAAAAATCTTTCATTAATATTTTTACATTATCATTATGTTAATAAATATTTATGGGTGAATTTGTTGTCAAAAAATTTTTTTCAATCAAATTTGTGATCAGCGACCTCGAAAACCACTATAGAGATGTATTTTTTATAGCAAAGACGCATTATACCAAGTACGCGCCGTAATTTACCGAAAGTTGAAAATTCGAGTTTTTTTCAAAAAATCGCCCCGCTCACCAGAATTGACCAAATTGAGTCCAATTGCCTGCATTCGAAAGAGGGTGATTGCCGCTATCTATACTATACAGCACCCTTCGGGAAAATGAAAACAACCCTAAAAATAAAAGGGTTGAATCTTGTAAATGACGCGTTTTTCACGATTTTTTCGCATTTAAACCTAAAATTCACATGTTTTTACTTGACCAAAAAATCTGAAAAAATTCACGGGACTTTCACACTACAAACACAAATTTTTAATTGCATTTAAACCATTTAAAACTAAATTAAACTGGTTTTAAAAAAATAAAAATTACAAAAATCATATTTTTCGCCATTACTGCGTTTTCGTTTGGGGTTGTAATGTCGGTAAAAAGCTTATAATGCTTGTTTTTTGACCGTCTTCAAGATTTTTGGAACGATTTTACCAGATTCGGTGGGGGCCGCCAGACCCCCCTTAACCCGCTACCCCCTGATGATAACATCGAAAGCTGCTCTTAATTCAGCTGTTGATTGTGAATCATCAGCTTCCACAATAGCCTTTTTATTCGTAATAAAATTGTCGACTAAAGTTTTCGATTAACCACGGGGTTCATTTCTTAGGTCAAAATTTCCGGAAAGCAGCTTCGGAAGCGGGCTAACTAATATCGAGTGGTGCTATTGTTCGCTCTGTATACGTCGTTGATGTTGCGTGCCGCTTCTACCGCTTTGCTGGTACGACGGTACTCGTACTACATAGGTAATCACTCGAAGTTTTAATGTATCCGTGATGACGAAAAACGTACTTATGCGCTGAAAACAGAATGTAAACCATTAAACAAATGACAAATTTTCAAAAAATAATTTCATGTTTTAAAAATAAAAGTAATTTGAATTCCTAGTGAAAAAAGAAAAAAAACTTGAAGTAGCCAGCACGGAAGAGCGGCCATTTTATAAATAAAGATCTGTTATCTCTGGAATGCTTTTATTATGTGCAAAAAGAAAAAATAAGAGGAATATTTTTTGATAATCTACCTGATAAACAAAGAAAAAAAGGTTTTTCATCATCCCTATTCTTAATTAACTATTGAACTTGTTTGTATTTGTTTTATTTCGTTGTAAAATTATGAAGTAGGTAGCTTAGTTAATTTAATTAAGCTAAATATCAAAGATTGCTAGACTGTTAGGCGGTACGAAATTCTGTGGTGCGGTGAGAAATCTGAGACAGTACGCATTTTATTCGAGAGGAAGCAAGAAGCTAGTTCTTCTGTTAGTGTACAGAATAATAAAACACTACCAAGATATGGAAGAGCAGTCTCTTTTGAAAACATTCCGAGAAGGCCAAGTGAACATCTAGAAATATAATCCGAGTAAAAAACATTTTTAAACAGGCTACTTCAACATCGGTGACAGTTGCGGCGAATAAATTAAAAATTTCTAAGTCCAGTCTATCTAGAGCAAAACGTAATGATACAGGCTTGGAAGCTTTTGTTAAAGTAGCTGCCCCTAAATATGAAAAAGACCAGCCCAGTACCAAGCGAGGGTGACGTAAAGTTTATGAAAATACTTAGAAAAAAAAAATATAATTTATAGTGAGACATACGTACCGGTTGAGCCGAGCGACGGTTCTGGGAAACAATATTTCCACGCAACCAGTCATGCCGTTGTTGATTATAGCAAAAAAATCGTACCAAAAGCAATTTTTCTTAAATAACTACCTAGTTGGCAAGCTATTGAAGGAAACGATAATGTTTTCGAACTCAATTATCGTACAGGGTCTATGAACTCTCAGATTCATCTTAGAGAGTGCATAATCATACGTCTAATACATTTTAAAGTTAAGCATTATCAGAGAGAAGATGTTTTGTCAGCCATAACATTTGGCTTTATGCCATTATAAGTTTAAAGTTACTTAGTATGTACAGACTGCGCGTGTTGAGCTTGTGTTGAGTTCATAACTATTGTTTTGTCTAGTTATGAACTCAACACAAGCTCAACACGCGCAGTCTGTATAAACGTTCTTCAAGTTCGAGATGTCGAAACAGATTGGGTCCTGTGACAAAGAGTGAAAAAAGTACACAGATGTACCTCAAACGTCGACATCTTTCAAACACTGATGGACTAGAGTGGCTAAAAGAGTAGCAGCTAAAGATTATATGTAGGGTTTAGAAAATGATTTTTGTACTGTAATAAAGTTCAAGTTCGAATGTGAAAATTGCAAATGCCCTTTCTGAATGATTTTTCATTGATATATATTTATTACCTACTTCATCATTTACATTTTTGAGATAACAGCTTCTAAAGATATCGCTTATCTAAATACGGAACTTTGGAAGTTTCACTCATGGTATTCCCTTCAGGTGGGGAATTTTCTTTCCTGACCATCACACTGTCCCACCTTAAAAGTGCGTTTTTTTTACAAGTTCTGGTCAAGTCCATGTAGTTATTTATTAGTTATGGTTAAGCTCCCATTAAAATATTAAAAATATCATTCTGCTATTAACAACCAAAACTTTCGTTGCTAAAACTTCTTGTGATCTTCCGACGAATCGTATCATCGTAATACATATACCGGCGGCGGCAGCGCGGCGGCGTGACACATGATTCTTATTGACATTGTTGTGTGCAGTTGGCCGTGGGGTCACCAGTTTGGGCTTTACAATGCGCCGGACACAATATCACCAATACGGCTCTCCATTGACGTACCACTCACCACGGCCGATTGCTT